TTGTGCCCATTTGCAAGTGAAGCAGCAGCCTGATATCTAAATGCACAAAAGTGTCACCTTCCATCTTACATCGCTGGAATGAAGATTGGGTCAGAGACATAGAATGCAGAGACGGCTACTGGACGGTTAAGATGTAAAAAGAAACATAAAATGTACTTCTTGGAATCAGCCCGATCACTATACATGATGAAAAGAGAGCTCAAAATCCTTTTGGAGTGAACATCTCTGAATCTATTAGGCATCCATATGCAGCAATTTACAGCACCGGAGCTAGCAAGGTCTCTTTTACAACTCTTGGCAGCTAGAAAATTGCGGGCTGGGCAAGGGAATGTCTGTATATTCATCAGGACTGGGTCTCTGCAATCAAATGTATTTGAAAGGTTTCTTGTTTTATTAGCTTAACTTTATTCATCACTAAAGCCTCCAGGATAAAAGCATGAGATGAAACTGGCATATTACATTAAGCAGTCCAGAGAATATAATAGAACATTAATAACACTGGTTTAGGTGGGTTGGGAAAGCAGAATTACTCCCTCAATGCGGCTCCAGATTTGATTTTCAAATGTAGTAGTCACAGAACTATCAAGCTACTAGCCACTGCTTGGGGAACAGGATTGGGTTGCTGTGTTACTATCATTAAATAAGATATGGCAGAATTATATTTTGCCTTAACGAAATGGCTTCGAACATAAAGTTGTTACTCCATCTTTGGAATTTGTACTCCTTTAACAATGTTGTTAGAAATATTAACATGCCTGGGAAATGCCTGATTGGACAAGGCTGGTTTAGTTGAATCAATGAAATTTTCCAATGAAAGTATATTTCAGAAGGCTCTGACTGCAACTGATGCCTATTTATATTAGGCGTGAGTGATGAAGTGAGAGATGTAGAGGTAAGGACTTGTATGTGCACCAAGAGGACTGTTGGTAGCCCATTCCTGAGAATAGAAGAGCTGGCTTACATCTTTTTCATTGACCCTACAAACAACTGGCTGACAATTAGAACTACACACTAAATTCCTCTGGTTTCATTCCAATTCTAAAAATTCTCAGCAGTGATCATGCTAGCTAGAAATTCCGAGAACTAATAAACCTAGAAAACACAGAGGTTGGAGAAGCCCACTATAAGTTATAGATCTTTGTGTAGTTTTCACTTTTAATGTTAGAATATAATGCAAAAATCAATTTGGCTGATGAGCTTCTGATAGAATTGTCATAAATTAACACAGATTTAGGTGAACATATTTGTGGGTCATATCCTGGGTCTATGGATTACAATTTGGAACTCTGTGCTAGGAGAAACTCTTGACATGGCCTAGAAGTCAGATATACTTATTTATTGCCCTACAGCATATCCTGTGATACAAATACTGTATTGGATCTGAAATCTCCATTATGCTGTATTAGGGGTTAGGACTCCCTTCTTACCATTATTTCTTTTGTGTTTCCACACAAAACTTCCAACACTATCATTGTCTGTTCATTAACAGAATCCCTATGTGGAAGCATTATTTAGGTATTTACAAGGTGCTTTTGTGGGATTAGAGAATGGGATTATTCTGAATGAGGGAACTAGGCTCCCTCATTCATATTTCATGACATATCTAGAAATCCCATACCCTAAATCCTTCACGTTATTCTGTCACAACATAGATACTCAACAATATATAAAACAGCCCTGCCCCTTGCTACTGAAACACCTCCGTCTCTGAGCATAAATAGGAGTAATAATTGGACATCAAATCAAGTAGCAAGAATCAAAAAATATTCAAAATATTTAAAGAGTTTCAACAAAGTAATAGAATAAAAACAAAAGCTTCTGGTTCAAAAAAAAATTAAATGTACAATAGTAATCAATAAAAAACTTTTCATCCCATTGCAAACCTTTTAAATTTTTATGGCCTCATTCATAACTACTTGAATTTACGTTTTTTAACCAAATTTTATCATAAACCATACTGGGAGTTTTATCAAAACTGATATTACAAGCATCCTGAATGAATATAAACCTTAAAAATACATTTACATTTTTCAGTAAATAATCAACCCATGTAAAAGGAAAATTTAGAGAACAGTTTTTTTCCAATTTAGACATTCCTTTTATCTATTTTCTTTTTTGTTTTTTATCCATGTTCTTACATATTTCCTACTTATAGTGAGATATAACACAAGACAATAAGATTTTGGTGGTGGGAGAATCATGCTTCAGAGAAACTTGGCATGCTATTTATTGAACTGGATAGAACACTTCATTTTTGCAATGGCATTCCTTCAAAATCATTCTGCCTTTAAGTTAAATGCTATTTTTCTCCAAAGCCATGCTTAGCATTAAATGGTAAGTGTCCTACAGATTTATACATTCTTCCTGCATAGTGGCTCATCCACATTTTGCCTGGGCAGATGTGGGCATCTCCAGCTCTTATACTGGCAGCCATTTTGTGACTGCATAAGCAACCCCCCACAGCCATTTACCCAGAATACCTGCAATCATTCTCAAAATTCCATGTTTGTCCATCTGTGTCCAAAAGATAGAGAACAGAAATGATATAATAGAAGCTATTAAGGGGTGTACTCAGACCTCTTATATGAAGCTCTTGCAATATTCATTTCTCACTGAGGTCAATTCTCATTCTCTAATATGAGTGAGAAAGATGGGCAAGTGCTACCGCATAGTTTCATGTCATTAGGGCCTGCAGTCTGGAGAAGTCAAGTGCAAATGCCAGATATGCCATACATTTGAACCTCTTCGGAGGAGCATTGGTAATGTGCTTTTCAAATAGAAAACATGATCCTAAGTGAAGCATAGCATATAAAAACATTTAATTAAAACTCAGTGGACTGGATCAGATTAAGTTAGCTGAATTTGGATCCAAGCAAAACCCATGGGATTAATTATCATCGACTTGGCTTTTTGATCTTTCTGAGATTTAATAGAACTAGTATTAATCTGGAAATAGCTTATTGGTTTTAACCGACGAAATCATCTTCTTGATCCTCCCTTTGAAGTCAACACTGCTCTAAAATGATAATGACTTTCTAATGAGAACTGCAGTGGTAAATTAAAACAACAAATAACCCTTAGCACTCAAACATTTCATAATTCAGAAACCAAGGTATTTGGCATGCAGAAGCAAAAAGGCTCTATATTTTTGTTATCCAAACACCTCTTCAACATCTTCCTTTGAACTTTGGTATTAAAGATGTGCTTCCTTTTTGCCTGGTTTAAAGAAAAGTCACCTGTCATCAATAATTTACTTCCCTACTGAAACATTATCCTGACAACAGAAAAAGAAATAGAGAAAAAATGTGGTGCACACTTGTGAAAACCTTTGAAAGGGCTAGTCAAAATATAGCACAATGAGATATCTGCAGCAAGTAGTATAATAGAGGAAGTGAGAGAGAATAATCTCCCCATATCAGTAAGTATGCTAAAATGTTTTTTCTTTAAACTAGGGGGTAGTAAGAATGCATTATTCAGTCCGAAACTAATAGAAAAAATAAAGAGAAATGCAGAAAGCTTCCTGTTATAGCTTCTTGCCTGTGCTCATTTTTAAGCAGAGAAATGGATGGCTTCCCTCTTAGATCAGGTAAAAGTAGTTACTAGAAGTGAAGTGAACACAAAAAGACTTGGCTATCAGAAGAAACAATGTCCTTTTACTACAGGGTAAAGAGCAGCAGCCTTAATTCTCCTTTGTCAAGACTGAATGTAAGAAATGTGGATAAGTTTGGAAAGTTAGCAAACAGTAATTTCACTAAGTATAGCAGTTAATGAAAGTGTGTTGTGTGAAGGAGTTATAAATACAGCAATTACCAACTTGAGAATTGGTAGTGCTTTAGTGGTTCCGTCTACCTCATCTATCCTAAGCTAAATTTGACATTGTTGTTTATATTTATTAGCTTCCTAAATATGAAGTGTGCTTGAAATAATGTTTAGAAAACCCTAATGATCAGTTTTTTCCCACCACCATGCACTAGGACCATGGTTCTCAACCTTTCTAATGCCGTGACCCCATAATACAGTTCCCCTTGTTGTGGTGACCCCCAACCACTTATACATCACCGGGTGCCAGGGGCGCGGCCAAAGAAAAGGTGAAAAAATGGCGGACAGCCTTGTTTGGCGACCCCCATGAAATGGTAGTTCGACCCCAAATGGGGTCCCAACCCACAGGTTGAGAACCACTGCACTAGGAACATGGTTTTTAGAAGTTGCAGCAAAACTACATTGGAACACAGCATTCTGGAAAAGTTGGACCACACATGTCTGAAAAACACCAGTTTATGGAAACTTCCAACACTATGTTAGAAAATACATAGACAGAATATACTTAAGCTAAAGTTAACTCCTCTTCTTCTGGAGCCACTTTTATCAGAAACTATATAAGATGTAAATACAGATAGCATGACCTGTGATGTGAAAACATTCTTTTGGCAAGCTCTGAAGAAGACTCAATTCTAGATCTAGCTGGGTGAGGTGGAGTGAGCCTATAATCCAGATACTCCAGAGGCTGAGACTTGAGCTCAGGAATTCTGGGCTGCAGCGGGCTATGGCAATCCTCTTAAGTTCAGCATCAATATGATGATATGGTGAGTTGAGGGCCACCAGGTTGCCTAAGGAGGGGTAAATCGGTTCCTGTTGGAGATGGAGCAGGTCTAGATCTTAATATGAGATTGCATCTTTGTTTACCAGATCTTTCTCCTAATTAACAATTTCCAATTCTAGATTTCATTTAGAACAGCAGTATTTATTAAGACAGCTCTCTTTCCTATATAAGGACAAAAGACATTGAAGACCAAAGCCATTTGTTGAAAGGTTCCAGGGGAATGAATTTTGTTCTTCCATTTTAATCTACTTGCAATACTGCAGTTGGTGCTGAACACATTACAGAAGCACAATATTCCCCCCCAACCCCCAAATGATTTTTAACACGAGCCATCCTTAAACATATTCTTCAGCCTTTAATACAATGGAATATCTGGTCAGTATTGCCCAGGCCAACCTACCTTGCAGAATTGTTGTAAATTTAACATTGGAGAAGGGTTGCAGATACAGGATGGAGCTCTGAGAAGAAAGGCAGGATAAAAACCTAATGAATAAATAAATACCCAAAGATGCTGGGGACTCAATTTTTGCATATAAAGCAGGCACTCTATCATGGAGTACACCCCTCCCAAAGGGCTACAAGCAACATAGAATAATAAATACAGGTTTTGCTTTTATTTCAATACTTCAGAGCCACATTATTAATTTTTAAAAATATATTTCAGCAGTTTGTTCCCTTTATTGTTGCTGGTTTCCTGACTTGCTGCTAGAAAGGAGATCAATAAAATCAATTTTGTTGTTTAAGCAAGCACAGGTGATGTTAATATTATTTTAAAGCAGCCCATCTGTATTGGGAAGATTTCTCTGAGCTAAGTATTTAAAGAAGGATTTGTAGGCACAAAGAGGTCCATGAAAGGCATAAGGGCAACATTTTCAGGCTCTGAGACACTGCACTATGCTGAAATACTACTACTAAATCAAAGCAATGTAGTAGGTGCACAGATATTTTATGGAATAAATTATAACTGGAGTTAGCCCACATCTTATTACAATTTATTTTTTCATATTTGTTTGTTAGATTGCTAATTCAAACAAAGAAGGACACTGGGCTTGTCGACCAGAAGGCTACCTTGTGACAGAGTAAGCTTCTACTTCTTGCCCCAGCTCCTGCTACTCTAGCAGTTTGAAAGCATATCAATGCAAGTAAATAAATAGGTACTATTTAGGTGGGGAGGTAACAGCATTCCATGTGCCTTCAGTGATAATCATGCTGGCCACATGATCACAGAAGTGTCCTCAGACAATGCTGGCGTTTTGGCTGTGAATTGGAGATGAGCATTGCCCCATAGAGTCAAATATGACTGGCAGAGAAATCCTTAATTTTACCTTAATAGAAATCCCCAAGATTTTCAAATCAGACATCCAACTGTGGCTTCCTTTAATAACGGGGAACACCCCCTCACACAGGTTTTTACCTGCTTATAATTTCTGTTGTTCACCCTGGCCTGAAGTAGGCTGTGGAATTCAATAATGTATCTGTTACAATATCAACTGAATACCAGTTAATAGGTCACATTCTGACAAATGTACATGTGAGGAATATACATGCTTTTTTCTCTTAAAAGGTCATAAGAATGGTGGACTTTTCCTATCTCCTCTATTACTGTACTGAAGTCAATCAAAAGTTAAAAAATCAGTTTGGTTACAGCTTACTCACTATTTCCTATTGAGTCGAGTTTTAAACTGGGAATTCTGAAGTTCATAGATTTGCTCCTGGGAACAGCAGTTAAGTTTATTTTGCCTCAATCGACAATGTAGGACTATTTACTTTGAAATCTACTTTAAGTAGGATATACTGCCAAATATATTATCAGCATCAGTAACTAAATAATACCTCCTATGCTTCTGCGTGGCTTAAAATATGCAGCCATAGCACATATTTTAATGAGATGATTATTAATACATTTTTAGGACACTGCATTTCTTATTTAGTTATTTCAACATATACACTACCTCTTGTTTGAATCTTTTACAAATCTTACCCAATAACACTCACAGCATAATAGAGAATATGGCATAATGTGTACCAGTTTTAAGGTCCATTTGTAGAATCAATTTTCCATATATACTGAATTAGTAAATATCAGAAATAGTTTTTTAAGATGTCTAATATGGTAACCTCAACTGTGAAATCTGTGAATATACAATGGGATCCAAATATAATTAAATTTTAAATCAGCTCTAGTATCTAAAAACAGCACTACCGAACCTCAACATTGACTGCAGGTAGCATCTTTTCAATCTGATGTTCTCCAAAGGTGTTGGGCAACTCCCATTGCCCACCCCTAAATAGGAAGCATACAAGCAGTTCAACACATCTGGAAATCCCTGGGGAAGGAGTAGAGTAATAGAGAGTGAGTTGGTTACTAATTTACGAATGTGCTGGCAGATGTATTTGGGATTCAGTGAAGCAAAGAAAACCTCAAGGAACTGGCCCGCGATTTCTTTCTCTTTTCAAAAGCTTTGTTTTTGAACGCTGGCATTTTCCAAAGCTTATAAAAATATGGTGGGGACTGTGATTAAACCCACCTCACAAGCGGTGCTTAGGAAGAAAATTCAAAATACCGTTATCGTGCATCAATTTCGACCCCCAAAACTTATACTACCCCGAATCTTCACGTAACGATATTAGTTAACTGGGAGACTTCGTGAAAGCATTCGTTCATCCCACCCCACTCATCCCGGGAGGGAAGTCCCCCTAGGACGAACAGAAGGCCAGGAAGAATTACAAGGACTCGCAACGAAGACGAGTCTTTCCACTCACCCTCTGATTTTGAATGCCATCAAAATAATAAGAGCGAAGTAAAAAAAAAAAAAAAGCCGCCTTTCTTGGCACATCTGAGTCTCAGAGCGTACTCCGCAGTCGGAAAAAGTGCTGTTTGTTTTGCAACCCGTTCTTTCCCTCACCACCGCTGCTGTCTCCGTCCCAATAAAAACTGGCCCTCTCCAAACCAGTCTCCTCACCTCCTGCAGCGCTTCCTAGGACACTGCAGCAGTTCTTGCCCTGCTGTTGCCCGGCCGCTGTTTCAGAGAGTCGTCCTCCTTCCGGCTGTTCCTTTGCCTACGCGAAAACGAGTACGTTTAAACCGCTCTCGTTTATCACCATTGCTTTTCGGCCGGCACTGCTCCCTGGCAGGACCCACCTATGCTCATGCTCGGTCCCGGCATGGCTGCCACGTTGCATCCTGGGGGTTGTAGTTTTCTTTCTGCCCATTCTGCCGATATACACGAGGAGCTTATTTATTTTGCGCATCGTAAATCCTCATGCAGAATCTGTTCAGGCTATAAACCTATATATATTTGTCTGGGAATAAATTCCACTGAACTTACTTTTAGTAGGCAGACATTAGATTGAATAATTAGCCAACAAGATGTTTTTAAACATTTGAGCCAATTCTTATCAGCAACATGTATAGTTCTCTCAGGCATGCGATATCTATACAAAGCCTTAAGGGGGTTTCCTGAAGTGTCTGTGGGTAATCAATCCAAATATTTTGTGCTATTTCTATTTCATTTTTCTCTCCTCAGCATTTTTAAGTTAAAACAAAAAAAAATTATGATTGAGAATGTATAAAGAATTACCTCCAGAAGACAATTGTGACTGCTGTTCTCAGGGAATAAGAGAAAATTGTAATGAATGAGGGTGGTTTGTTCTCTGAGATTGTGGGTTGGTTTCCGAATGTTAAAATTCATTGTAATGAATTTTAAATTTTACCATCTCCTGTTATATGTCCTCCATCATCGTCATCATCATCATCATCATCATCATCATCATCATCCATTAATGACCAGAATAGTAAAACCTGGACAGCAAAATTGCAATACAATAAGATAACATAATGAAAAAACTTATTTAAATCTCCATGTGATTTTTCTTTAGAGCATGCATGTCAATCTCACTATGTCCTGTGACATGTTGCTCTTGTGGAAAACTAAAGGACTCTTACGAATTCCAGAGGGTTTTAGCAGAGAGATTTATTGCGCAGGTTCAGAAGCAATAGCAACTAGCAATTCTGAACTCCAAGGGTGGGTTCAGACTTCAGTTTTATACATTCCTTTTCTCAGGAACAAAGGAATACACATTATAATACACATTGTAATACATTAGGTTCATTTCTCATGGGTATACAATGGAGAGTTTGCTACATACATTGTATCCAACTGCAATGCGCATTAGGTTAGTTACATACTACTAACGCAGCATTATTCCAGTAATTATGCAGACACATCGTTATTCTAGTGATTATTCATTAATCCACATTATTGCGACATATCATGACTTTTTTCGCATTGCCGGAGCTGGGGTGGGCGCGGCCTCTGCACAATGCAACTGGCCTGCAGGCCGGAAGTTTGACACCCCTGCTTTAAAGCATATACTATAAATTTTTCACCTGCTCATTTATCCAAATTGGTTGGGCCAACCCACCTTTTATACCAAGAGAGGCATTTACCCCAAGGGATGGATATTGTGATGTGAAGCAGCAACAAAGTTTTGGGTGACAGGCTTGAATGTTTCACTTAAGCTGTCCCATAAATATTTCTAAACTAAATGGCACCCCCCTCCAATGTGATGAGACATATTGTACCTACTCAGGAATTGAATGGCCAATTTGCTGGAACGTGGGAGGATCATCTTGTCCTTTTATTCAGGCAACAAGATGCTGGGCTGATTATGAATGTTGCTCTTTTGGAATATTTCTCAGCAGGAAATAAAAAAAGTATTCAGGCCTATTTCTCAATAAATAAATAAGAGCAACCAACAGAGCCTTCAAATGCTGCCTTATATTTGCTACTGTTTGTATGCATAATTAGATATTCCCAAGGTGACAAGACAGTTAAACATCTTTCCAGTAAATTAATGTCAGCCTTTAACTGCTGAAGTGTTTGGCCCTGATAACTTGATGCTTATCTGGGGAAAACTTACTTTTTAATAGCTGAGCATTGCATCCCCCTACAGCTTGTTTGGTTTTGATACATATACATAAGCACCTAGTCTCCTAATAGGAAGTGCTTTATTTTATTTCATTTTAATGGCTGCTATCCCTCCCACTGTTCAGACAAGGCTACCAGAGCAGTTCCCATTTGGGTCACTAAGAAGAATAAAACAATGGTCGGATGGGACTGCCATTTCAAGAATTCCCATCTAGGATGGAACTGGCAAGGCAGCAGTGAAAGACAGGGGCCTCATCTTCACAGAACAGAAGAGATGTGGGGCTGAAGGAGTAGCAATGACCAAAATGCTGGTGGTAGTTCCCCTTGCCTAGTTTTGGGAAAGTTGATATTCAGTAAAAATGGATTCCAGAATTGTCAGATAGCTTCTGAGAAAATTGACACAACTTCTAGTTTGGATAATTCAGTTGTTGTATGCTATAGATTTATGCTGGACTCAAACAGCAATATCTGTATTCAAAATGGAGAGTCCAGTCAGCAAGGGAGGAAGAGAGGGGGGGGGGAAAGAAAGAAAATAAGGGGAAAAGTCTGAATTGGGTTTTGAGAGCCAATCAGCTTAGTGCAGTGATGGCGAACCTTTCAGAGACCAAATGCCCAAACTGCAACCCAAAACCCACTTATGTATCGCGGATACCGAGTGGGCATGGCCCACTGGGTGGGTGTGGCTTCGGTGGCCATGGCAGACTGGGTGGGTGTGGCCAGGTTGGACGTGGCCAGCTCGATGTTGCTTACGTCCTACTTGTCTTCTCCAAACTCACACCCACCATTGCTTCCAAAGGCCGTCTGCTCGCTCACTCGCTCTCTCGCTGCACTCCTGCCAAAACCTGCTTCTTTTATAGGTTCCCCTCTCCCCACTCAGCTCTCACAACTGTTCCCACAAGAGCACTGCTGGATTTGGTTTCCTTGCTCTCTCCAGTTCCCACTAGTCAGGCCACATGGAGGGGGGGGAACGTCCCTCTGGCGCGTGTGCTGACAGAAAGGGCTCTGCGTGCCCAGTCCGGCACATGTGCCATAGGTTCGCCACCATGGGCTTAGCAGAATAACAGAGTTGGAAGAGATCTTGGAGGTCTTCTAGTCCAACCCCCTGCTCAGGCAGGAAACCCTATACCATTTCAGACAAATGTTTGTCCAATCTCTTCTTAAAAACTTCCAATGTTGGAGCATTCACAACTTCTGGAGGCAAGATGTTTTACTGATTAATTGTTCTAACTGTCAGGAAATTTCTCCTTACTTCTAAGTTGGTTCTCTCCTTGATTCACATCCTCTCCTTTTCCATCCATTGCTTCTTGTTCTACTTTTAAGTGCTTTGGCGAATAAGTTGGCTCCCTCTTCTTTGTGGCAGCTCCTTAGGCATAGGAACACTGCTATCATATTAGTCCATTTCATTAAACTAAACATATTCAAGTCATACAGTCTTTCTTCATATGTTTTAGCCTCCAGTCCCCTAATCATTTTTGCTTCTTTTCTCTGCGTTCTTTCTAGAGTCTCAACATCTTTTTTATATTGTGGCAACCAAAACTGAGTGCAGTATTCCACTTCTGGTCTTACCGAGGCATTACAAAGTGGTACTAACACTTTGTATGATCTTGATTCTGTCCCTCTGTTAATGCAGCCTAGGACTCCCTTGGCTTTTTTGGCAGCTGCAGTACACTGCTGGCTCATATTTAAGTGATCGGTCATTAGGACTACAAGATCCCTCTCACAGTTACTACTATTGAGCCAGGTATCACCTATTCTATATCTATGCTTTTGGTTTTTCTTGCCTATCTGGAGAAACTTACTTTTCTCACCATTTAATTTCATTTTATTAGACAGGACCCGGTGTTCCAGTATGTCAAGATCCTTCTGTATCTTGAGCTTGTCTTCTGGAATGTTGGCTATTTCTGCCAGTTTGGTGTCATCTGTAAATTTGATGAATTCCCCTTGTATCCTGTCATCTAAATAAATGATGAAGATATTGAAGAGCCTAAGACACAGCCTTGGAGTACCCCACTGCATACTTCCTCCATGAGGATTAGTGTGGCATCAATACAACCACACACTTTTATTGTTATACATAATTCTAGCTGCCTTGTAAGATTTTATTTGTTAAAGGCCAACTGTAAAAGCCTTTTATATTAGTTTGGGATATTATTCTATATTATTTTTAAACTTTGGGCTTTGTATATTAAAAAAAATGAAAGGGTGCAATTTAGTGTTGCTATTAATATTATAGGACAGTGGTGGCAAACCTATGGCACATGTGCCAGAGGCGGCACTCGGAGCTCTCTCTGTGGGCACACATGCTGTTGCCCCAGCCTTGCATCCCCACACAACCCCCTCCTCACCAGCAGCCCCCTGGAAGAGAGTCGCCTCTGAGCATGGCCCACACGGAGCAGCGCAGCCAAGGACATGGCAGCCAGGCAGCATACACAAGACTCTGCCTCACGTCCCATCGCACACAGTTGATGCTGCGGGGCGCGAGCAGAGAGTGTGACTGCCATGGTGCTGCTGGGCTGCCTGGGCGATTTGCAGCGGGCCCTGGAGGTGATGAGTGGCCCTGCAGGCAGGTGGGGTAGGGCAGGGGCGGGGCAGGGGCGGGGCCGGGGCCAGTTTTTGGTTCGCCATCACTGTTATAGGAAATTGCTGCAAAAACTTTGACTTTGACCTATTCTATAGCTGATACTGGTTGGGTAAAACACTCATTATGCATATTGCTTTCATCTTACTGTGAGCATGAAACCACTTGTTATCACTTAATTATGGCTTGATGAAATGTAATTTTACATCCTGGTTTAACTGTATTTTGCTGAGCTCACACATGCTAAATTATGGATTGATTAATTATTGTTTGTTGAATAAATCCTAAATGAAGGCTTTGTATACTGCACTACTCCATGCTTTACACATTTTAGTGGTCAGACTTATACACTACTCTAAATCAAACCCAAACATCTCACAATATTGTTTAACTCACTGTGAGAATACAATCATCAAACAGGATCAAGAAAAAAATCTTTGTCTTCACTGAAGATACAAAACTCTTTTTAGTTGGTGTTTCAGTTCTTTTTAAGGAATGTTTCTTATTTAACATCATCAAGCTTTTCTTTGAAAACTTGCTGAAATCTAGAATTCATAAGGCCACACAATCCTTCAGGAAAATCAGACCATCATAAAAGAGCCAAGTTTGAAGACCCCTGGTCTAGGTGTCATCTATTTCTCAGTTTTCTTCAGAGTACTTTTAAGTTGGATTGCCACTTACCATCAAATAACATTATTTGAGGTCATAGATATTGCCTTTTTAAGATAAAGATATCACTTTAGTATAAAATTTTATTTATGTAGTATGCAGAAACAGAAATCAATATTTTTGACAGGGGGTTGTTATATACTATAAAGCAGCATTCCCCAACTTGGTGCCTTCCAGAGGCATTGAGATTACAAATGGTGTTCCCAGTTAGCATATTCTGTTGGCTGAAGTCTTAAAGTATCTTAGGAAAAATATATAGGTTAGTCTTCATATTTGACTGGACATGCATGTTTTCTTACCAATACTTTACTCATTATAAATAGTTTACTGATTTTGTTTCCAGAGTATACTTGACCTGCTCAGTCACTAAACTCTTTAAATTCCCTGACCAGTAGTTTTAGCAGTCTATGTTCATATTAATTTGATCAAAATTTAGTCAAAATGATGGTCAAGGAATACAAAATCCCTACCCAATTGATGCAACTGATATGCGGTGAGCCCTTTCATCATTTTGATAACAGCAGCAATCTCCTGGCCAAAGTTTCCTAACATCACTAGTCCTAGCAGGTGCTTTGGGTACTATGATAGGCACTATTTAGGTTCTGCCACATTTTGACAATGAGA